CATCAACCCATCTTCTGTAACCCTATATTCAGGCTGGTATAATTAAATTTTTCCCCTATATTTTATTCATTGTATCATTTATTTATTATATCTCTCATTTAATAATCTTTTATTCGAGCATTACCTTAATTCTTTTAAGTTCTATTTTTTGAATATTCCATCTTAAACTTTAAAAGTAGTGTTTCTTAATTTTAGTTTTCATTACTTTAATTAATTACTGCCTTATAATTAACTTATTATTGAATTTATTTTAGTTCCCGATAAAATATTATTTTGTATTCCTATTGAAAATCTTATTAAAGTTTTACTATAGGCTATTAAAAAATAGTAAAGTTGTCCTAAGTAATGACATAGAAGGTTTTGCGATATTATTTAAACAATACTTTTTGTCTATAGTAATTACTTTTTTAAAAAATTTTGGTTAACCAATAAGATAGATGCTGCAAATTTTGAGATTTCAATTGATTTCATCAAAGAAATATAGCGCCCCAGTTTGTTAAGAAATTATTGATGACATTAAAAACAAGACTGATAAATGGGTCCCTCTAGAGTTAAGTGAGAACCCCTTTTCTGGTTAATCATTGAAAGACACTTAATAAAGATTTGGAATTAAGAATGCCAATAGAAACCCAAATTTTTCAGGCATTTTCAGGAATTTTGGCCAATCAAAAAAAAGTTTCAACCTTGAAAGTTTAAAAGTTACCAGTATTCCATAGTCCTTTGATGCTCGAGATGTATGGCCAGATTGTATTCATGCTACTCGTGATTAAGGCTAATGTGGTTCATGCTATGCATTCGCAGCAGCAGGTATGATGAGCGATAGAGTATGCATTTAAACAGAGGGTAAAATTGATTTTGTTCTTTCTACTGGTGACTTAGTTTATTGTGATATGAGTAACTATGGATGTGATGGCGGCTGGATGACTAACACTTTAGTATATTTGACTTAAGTGGGGATTGCAACTGAACAATGTATAGGCTATGATGGTTATAGCTCAGTAACAAAAGTATATAAATAGTAAGATCTTATGTATTATGTAGAAATGCTATGACAGATGTGATGACAAATCAGTTGAGTTCAAGCGATATAAATGCAAAAAGGGATCAACAAAGATTATGACTGATAAATTAGAAATCATGAGAGATTTGATGGAGAATGGACCCTCAATCGTGGCTTTCTAAGTTTATGAAGATTTCTAAAACTATGGAGGAGGAACATATGAATACACTACTGGTGAATTTGTGGTAGGGCATGCAACGAAGTTGATAGGATGGGGCTTTGATAGAACTGGCAGATTATATTGGATCAGCTAGAATTAATGGGGAATCACTTGGGGAGGAAGGAATGGATATGGTTATTTTTAAATATACGATGGTGAATTGGGATTCGCTTCAGTGGTTTGGTCATGTAAACCTAATATTTGATAAGATGTTTCATCAATTGCGTTGGTATGAAATTAAAAGATAAAACTATTAAAATCGATTACAATGAATTAAGTTTTATAATTTCTTTAAAGTAAAGTTTATAATTAATAAATCATCATAATGAAAACAAATATCGCAATTTTAGTGCTATTACTATCGGTTCATTTTGAAAAAGGTCTCGCACTTGATAATCATCCTGTTAGAGATGAAATTGTAGAAAAAATTAAAGTCCATGCTAAATCATGGAAGCCAATGGAAACAGGAGATAATAGACTTGGTGACATCCCTCTAGAATAATTTGCCATGAAACTAGGTCGAATTCCAGATATCTCATAAATCACCAATAAAATCAGCCAAGGAGTGCATGACGCCTTTCGATTTTTCAATCATAGATAATCTGCTTCAAGCCATCACACTGTAATGAGTAAAAAGTACATGAAATTATTGTAAGAATAAGGAGGTGAAATACCAAAATCATTTGATTCAAGGCAGAAGTGGCCTGATTGTATGCATCCAATTAGAGACTAATAACTATGTGGGTCCTGTTGGGCTTTTGCTTCAAGCAGTTTCTTAAGTGATAGATTTTGCATCCATTCTGGAGGCGATATTAATGTGTTACTTGCACCTTAAGATCTTGTCTCTTGCAACTATGAAAATCTTGGTTGTAGTGGAGGGTAGCTAATCGGCACAATAAATTACTTGATCTCAGAGGGTATTACATCAGAAACATGCATGCCTTACTAAAACAATGATAAGGCTTGTGACTTCAAATGTATCAATAAAACTGAATCATACACAAAATACTATTGTGAAAAAGACTCTTTGACTATTTTATCTGAGACCGAGGAGATATAACTAGAACTCATGACTAATGGACCATTAATGGTAGGATTGACTGTTTATGAAGACTTCCCTAACTATAAAGAAGGAGTATATGAATATATAACTGGATCTGCTGTAGGCGGGCACGCTATTAAGCTCATTGGATGGGGAACTGATGAGAATGGTACTGTGCATTGGATTTGCTAAAATTAATGGGGAGCAGACTGGGGAGAAAATGGCTATGTCAGAATAAAATCAGGTCAACTTGGATTGGACTCTATGGTAATGGGATGTACTCCTGATATTGAATGAGACAATGTCCATATATCTTCTTAAATATGCAAAAAATATATTAACTCATAAAACATTAAGTATTAATTAATCCAACGAATATGATCATAATCAATTGATTAAAATCACTAAGTAGCTGTTTTTAACTAGTCTGAAATTGCAATTTAGTTATCTTCAGTGTCATTAGGAATACTAATCTATGGAGGGCTCATCCATAATCCTCCTTGTAGCTAACTTTCTTTTAATTTCTAATCAACTTGCTATCCTGCAACAGAGCCAACATACCATGCATTTCTTTCTTGGGTGCTATTTCTTTTGCTGTTGCTTTCAGCGAAAGACCAACCTTAAACATATTATGGATGATCTCTTCTGCAATCCTTTCCTCTTGTTTATGGATGCCCAGCCGCCATGTATGGTGAAACTTAAATTATAGATTTAGCATATTCAGCTAGGTATGGCTCAGGAGCTTTAACTTTCCTCTCATAAATCTAATGCCAATCAACATCTTTGAAATATTCATGACTCTTCAATTCTTCTGCTCCATGCTTACTTCCAAGCCTCTTTACTGGGTTTTTATTCAAAAGTTTCTCGAGTAAATCTTGGCATTCTTAACTCACATGTTGAGGAATTTCAAGCTGGTTATTCATAATATTTTGAAATAAGATCTCTCTATTTAAATAATTATGGAAGGGTAAGCTTACTTTTCATCAGCATAGTACGGGGGCATTCCTGTAAGCATTTCGTAAAATACAACTCCTAGCAAGTACCAATCTACTGCTTTACCATGTCCAGCTTTTCTAATCATTTCTGGAGCAAGGTATGCATATGAACCACAGAAAGATTTAGCACCTCCATTTTAGTAATGAACTCCTTCTTTTGATAATCCAAAATCTGTTAATAAAGCGTGACCTTCTTCATCTAAAACTACATTATCTGGTTTTAAATCTCTAAAAATGATGTCTCTCTCATGTAGAGCTTCTATTGCTAAAAGTATTTCAATGATGTAGAATCTTGCTTTTTCCTCAGAAAACTATCTCTCGATTTCGAGATACTAAGATAAATCTCCACCAGGACAATAATCGCATATAAGGAAAAGTTTGTCCTAAGTTTGAAAAGCATATCTTAATCTCACAATGAATGGATGCTACATTACAGACATTACATTTCTCTCGGTTAAAGCATATTTAATGAGGTTCTAAGATCTTATTTTTGATTTTGAAAGTACTTTCATTGCGTAAAGTTTCTTGTTTGAAATTTTTTCAACTAAATATACTTCGCCAAAAGATCCTGTACCAAGGAGTTAATGGGCAACAAATTGATCTGGCCCAATTTTTTTGGATTCACTTTTAGAAGGACTGAATTCAGTAATGGCAATTCCTGATTTTTGAGAGACGTTTGTTTTTAACTACCTTCGACTAATGCTTTTCTGTAATTATTAGTTATCCTGGCTTGGAACATATCCTTACTAATTTTCTTATTATCTTTTTTGCACCAGCTCATTTTAATGTTATTGTTTAATTTAACTTACTTCATTAAGAAGCTTTTATTACTTTAATACACTCGCAGGATTAAATATGGTTGCACTCGTTACAGCATTATTATTTCTTAGTTGGGCAAGCTTTGGTCCAGGATTTTTAGGGCTCAAAATTGGAGTAGGATTGTTTTATAATTGTTCCAAGGTCAATTATTTCTGTATAGATTCTTCATCCTAAGATTATTTAAAAACATTGCAAAGATCTGACTGTCCGGTACTATCTATAATTTAACGCTATTTAGATGGCCCTTAGCCACCTCTCATTGAAGCTTCAAAAGATTGCATTACTTATGATGATTAACTCTCAAAAAGTAGATCATCACTATCATGTTCTCCTTTTGGCTAATTAACTGGTCTTTAATTTTTCATAGCCATATTCATTTGATCAAACATGGCTTTTACATCTTGATTTGCAACATTATCAACTCTGATACTCTTTACTGAATTCTTACCAGGAATTATTATCTTTTTGATCCCTAAATTTTTGTTATCTTTGATTGTTGTCTCTAGTTCTTCTATTTTTGAGCTTTCCGTTTATTTTTTCTTTTTCAGCATTTCTCTAACATTTTAATAAGGGGATAGTTCATATGGCATCATACCATTTTTATTGGCGATAGCTAAACTTTCTTAGCAGAAAGGTAAAAGTAATTTAATGAGTTCTTATTATGCAGGTGTGGAACAAAATCTACCTAAGATATGCAAAGGAGTGTTACCATCATATTTGGATTTAATATTTGCATTAGCACCTGCTAATAATAATCTTTCAATAACTGATCTATGCTGTTAGGTGCAGGCTATATGAAGAGCAGATCTACCATTCTTGGTCAATTAATTTACATTAGCCCCTAATTTTCTTATCAAATGCTCTACTACTTAATCTAGTCCTTCATGAGATGCATAATGGATAGCCGCCCAATCATCATCTTAATGATTTTGACAATTAGGATCAACTCCCATTAAAACTAAATGAGAAATCATAGCTATATTTCCAGTTTCAGTAGCTGACCACAGCTATTCTTCGAGTGTTTAGCTCCTATTTAATCTTGGAGATACCTTATTTCCAAATTTTGCTTTAGGGGAATGCATAGCTGTATCTCTTGTGGTCGTCATTGCTGTATTTTTATTAGTAATCTTTGATGTCTGTGAATAATTTAGATCACTTCTCTGATTTTAGTGACTTTTCGTTGTATTATATTATTATGATTGATATGTAGATTTTTACTCTTCTTTTGAGCTCTGTCGTTTTTTAGAATTTGAATTTTACAAATTACCGGTCGTTCTTTGATTTTATATCATTTCTAATCTTTTGCTTGGAGAAGTAGATTTTCTCTAGCTGTAATCATTTTCTTCTTCCTCAATAGATTCTTGATAATCATTCATATAATACTTGTAAGTAGCTTTATCACTATCTAAAATCTGAACGTTTTATTTGTCATTTTATTTCAAATTTTTAGAAGCAGTAATGTTCAACAGTTTTTCTACTGGAAGATGAAATAAAAAATATTACTTGGAGAAATTTTAGGAGATTTTTTAATTTCATTTACTTTCGGAATTCTAGCTTGCACATCTTCTTTCATAGATTCTCTAAAGTTAACGAAATTACTTTTAAAACTTTCTTAAGGCTACTTTAGTGATGCTTAGCTCATCTGATGATTGAGGAAATTAGTTTAGTTAGTTTAGTGAGTTAAGGTATCTTGCCTAAAGAGCTTTTGCTAACTTTTTGTATTCTAATTTTAATTCATTGCACTCTGCTAAGAAAATAATGACTATATGAAATTTTAAGATTTATGAGCATCTCATACATTTTAGGCTTGGCTATTAGCATTTCTCCTTATGACAGCATGATTATTATGACTACTTGGAGTCAATTTATTCGGATTAGTACTCTAACTTTATGGGGAAAATGTCAGCATTGTGGACTCTTATAGATTCTATTATAAAATTGAAATAAGTTAAACTTACATTATTTATTGATGTCAATTGATTATATGGTTTAGATTCACTAGTTATAAGCTTTGTCTTTGATTATGAAGAGTTCAGATTTCTAGAAGATGATTCTACGATTGTCTCATTATGAATTTTGGTCTTGGATTTTATAGAACCCAATCCCTATAATTACATTTTCTTAGTACCTATTGGCTTATGACTGGATACGTTTTTATTTGAGTGTTGTTGTCCTCCAGAGAGGGCTGTTTGAGGACGATTATTTTATTGATTACTTTGAAGAAGTAAAGTAGACTAAATACTACCATGAGCATCTAAAAAATTCAAAAATATAATTTAAATCGGCTTACTCTTTGGTGAGTAAAAAGGTGATTTGTGAACAAGTGATGATTAAATATTATTAAGAGTAAAGTGAGAGCTCTAAAATGTTTAACCTAAGGATGTTGATTAGGTATGATCAGTCCCTGATAAATTCGAATCTCTCGATTTAGCTGTCCTCATAAATTACTAGTGCTATTGATGAGTATGAGAATGTTGGAACTATATTTCAGTAAATTATTATTTTGATGGCTATGTTTGGTTTGTAGTTTTCACATTTATTAGATTCTAGCTATCTCTATATCCTGGAGACCTAATAGATTAGTTACTGACTCCAGTGATCCTTTAGCTCTGGCCAAATTAATTATTTTATGGAGATGTATGGTGACTATTCATATTTCCTGTAGTAGAAGAAGGCTAATGAATAGATTGAGGTGGGGCTATTTACAAGTTTTTTTAGCTCTAACCTGTTTAAACAATTTGACTGAGATTCTAGGGAGTTTGAGTCATTTTTCTTGTATGTAAATTCTGCGTAATCTAATGCACATTTGTTGGAGAAGACAAATTTCTTTGACTACTCACTGTATTCAAAGTCAATTTTTATGTATTCATTTTATTTCTATAGTTTAATTTAATGAAAAAATTCTTAATTTGAATAAATCTCAATTTAATGGGGGTTTTGGGGTTTTGGGGTTTTGGGGAGATCGGAAGAGCA